TTTAAAATCATTAGGAGCCATCTAAAATGTGCTAAAATACCCATGTGGCTATATAGGCTGGTAATGATATAATGTTGCTTATGTTTTTGATAAACACAATTAATGGAATTAAACCAAAGGGGTGAAGGATCTCTACAACAAAAACTGTAAAAATACTGGTGAAAGAAGTCAAAGAGGACACATACACATACACAAATCTCCCATGTTCATGGACCTAACAATCTTTATTGTTTAGAATGTTCATACAATCCAAAGTCATCTAGACTCAATGTAATCCCTATCAAAATACCAAAAGCATGTTTCACAGAACTATAAARATGGAATCCTGAAATTTGTATAGAGCCACTAAAAATCCAAAAGACTGATTTCTATTGGAAGCAACTCAAAATTAAAGCTGTCCTTCAACCTGAAACTTCCAGACTCAAACTCTTGGCTATTCACCCACGTTTCTGTCTTGTTATCATGAAATAATGATTCAAGATACTTCCTTCAAGTTCTTTTCCCATACATATTGACAAATACAGTTTGTGTGTGTGTGTGTGTGTGTGTGTGTGTGTGTGTGCGTGCGCAAATAAGATTAGGTTCATACTCTAGTCGTTTTATACTTGCTTTCATTTATAAAAATTTGTCATGAATACAAAGAATTTATAAAATATCTACATATGTTAAAGAATAGTAATAAGATAATCAACAATTCATTTAGTAACCAGGTAAGAACTCTTGTAAACAGGTTTTAGGAATTCTTTGTGGACTATTTTCTGATTGTATCTCTTTCCTTGGTCCCAGAGATAATTACTATCCTGAATTTTATGTAATTTATGATTTGTTTTTCTGAATGGTGATACTACCAATAGGTATATTTTGAAAATGTGTATTTCTTTGTTGTGCCTGGTTTTGAATTTATTGCAATGGAATATTGTGTACTTTACTTTATGACTTCATTCCTAAATTATGTTTTTCTGATTCATACATTTTAGACATATCTCAATAGCAGTGAAAAAGAAATTAAAAAACATTTTTAAAAAATTATCTGCTAATCAGGTTGATAAGTGTTACTTCATTATAGTCTTAATTTGCATTATGTTTACTAATGAATAATTTGTGCTCCATTTTCATGTATTTATTGACCATTTGACTAAGTGCTTTTAGAAAGTGTCTGTTCTTTACTATTTTCCAATTGGACTGTTTGTCTATTTCTCACTGGTTCACAGTAACAACTAGGTATAATGTGGATCAGGAATGTCTGCAATATATAAAATGATCCACATTAAATGGGTAAAAAAGAAAAATTAATTGTAGTAATATATTTTATTGAATATAATGTCTCAAATATTTTCACTTCAACATGTATTCAGTAGAAACATTATTAAGGAAACTTGACTTTTTTTCATACTATGTCAAATCTGGTGTATATTTTACATTGAAGCACATCTCAATTGGGAAAAGTCTCACTGCAAATGCTCAAAGCCACATATTTTATGGGTCTACACTTTTGGCAGTGCAACTCTAAATCCTAAGGTTTTGCCAGGTATATATATTGCAAATGCCTTCTTTGGTGAGGATTTCTGTCTTCACTTTGTTTATGGTATCTTTTCATGAACCAAGATTCTGAACAGTAAATAATCAAGTATGTCTATATTTTTCTTTATGGCATTTTCCATTCCTGGTTTCAAAAAATCCTTCATCTTTCCTATGTCATAAAGATACACATGTGTGTATCACATGTGTGTACCATATTATCTATTAAAAGCTGTTCATAATTTGTAAGTAATACAATCATAGTGGAAAATCCAATGGAAAAACAAGTTTCTTCCAGATTGTTACACTGGCAATGCCTGACCAATGCCCAGCAAACTTTTTTTTCCATGAAAAATTTCCCATCATTCTTGAAGTTTGAGTATTCTCCCTGTTGTAGATGTTTGAATACAGTAAATTTTGTATTATTTCATTTTGAGATTCAGTGATTTTTTTGAGAAACCGACAGACTTTTACACTTTCATTATTTGAAATATTATTTCATTGTGCACAATTATAAGTTGATGTGCATTTCCTTCAGCACAGTGAGGATAGAATTTAATTCTTTTTTGAAGAAATAAGGTGTCAGTCTAATTGCTCTTTCTTTGAAGATCATATCTTTTCCCACCCCGATGAGCTGTTTTTAAGATTTCCTCCCTTTTTATTGTTTAGCAGTGTCACTCTAATGTGTGTAGAGTGGATATCACCTAACTTATACAATTGGGGTGCTTTGGGCTTCTTAATGTCACGGATTAAAAAGTTTTCACATGTTCAGATATTGCCTCTTCTTCATCCATCCCATTTTCTCCTTCTTGAATTTTGATTCGAAGTACACCAAATGGCTTTATCCTATCCTCTCTTCTACCCTGATTTCTTTCTTTCTCTATGTCTGTTAATTTTGTACAGGATAAAATTTTCATCTTTTTTCCAGTTTATTAATCCTATGGCATCAAATCTACTGATAATTCTATATAATAGTTTTCAACTTAATTCATTATATAATTCTTTTCTAGACTTTTAATAATTTATAATTATAAATCTCCTTAGTCTCTACTTAATGCTTCTAAAACTTGAAAAAAATTAAAACATCTTAATCATCATGATTTTATTAACTTCAATATTTGTAATTTTTTTCAGGCCCAGTACTTCTGCTTTGTATTTCACAGATTTCTACTCATGGTCCCTAGTTCCCTTCTATATTTTGTGATTTGCACTGTGGTCTGAACATTTTCTGTAGAATTTTGTCTGTGGAATGATTTGTGGCATGGACAGAGGTTGAAATTTCCAGAGAGTTTTCATTTACTGTTGCTAGACACCAGGAGGGTGCTCAGAAGCAGAACCATGTTAGCATAAATTTTAGTGGAAAGATTTTGACACACAGGTTGAGACCCATGTAAGTGCTGACTTCTGGTTTTATATTTTTGGGCTAGGGAAATTTCTCCTCATCCATGCCAAGGATGAGAAAGAAAAATTTCCTTGTTCCTTTATGCATGGGGGCATTTTTCTTTTTTAAAGCTTTTTATTACCATAAAACTAATCTTTTGAAAATATACAATCCAGTGAGTATTCACATAGTTTTGTAACTATGTTCAATATCTAATTTTAAAACATTTTCATTACATAAAAAATAAACTCCAGCCCCATTAGCATCACTCTCCAATTGCTTCTCTCTCCCCCTTTTTATGGACATTAATATAAATAAAATCATACAGTAAATGACTTTTTGTAACTGGATTCTTGGCTTAAAAATATTTTAAAAGTTATGCTTGGCAGTGTTTATGTTTTATTCATCCACRCAATGCAGGGTGCAGTCTCTGACATTCTAATTTTAACTTGAATATGACTATGTAACTAAATTTGGGCCAATGGGATTCAAACAGAAAGAAGGTATAAGACTTCTTGGTCATTTCCTTTGCTTTCCCCCCATTCCCATGGGCTGGCATCCCATGGGTTGGCACAAGGTCTAAGTAAGTTCCTTGAAACTAGGTGGGAAGTATAAAATCCTATGGACTTCTGGAAATAAAGAGAAAACCTCAGTCCCTGATAACCTAATGGTAGATGACACTAAATCCCTGGAATATTACACAACTGAGATAGAGTTTACATGTAAATTTGTCTGTTTGGGATGGTCCTTTGGCTTCAGTGGTTTAATCTGTTAATTAATACAATAAGAATATAGCAGCATCATGGGGCTAGGACTGTAGCTCAGTGGTGGAGCACCTGCCCCTCTTATATGGGGCACTGGGTTCAATGCTCAGCACAACATAAAAATAGATACACAGATAGATAGATAAATAAATAAATAAAATAAAATTATTGTGTCCAAACTACAACTAAAAAAAAATCGTATAAAATAAAAAAAATGTAGCGCATCAATTTTACCATTTGCCTGCTGGATAGTTTCCAACCTTTTTTTTTTAAATAACAATAATTCTGCCGTGAACATATGCATATTTGACTTCCTCTAGGTTGCTTCCTTATGGCATATTTCTAGAAATGGAGCTGCTTCTTATAGCACAGCCTCTTGAAACATTGCCAGATTTCCAGTTAGGAAGATGATTTGTTTTATTTTTGACATCACTGTACAGAGTGCTTTTTGCTCATTTTTAAAAGCTTTAAACATAACCTAAAAGGTACTATTTGAAAACTTGCCTAGGGTAAATAATAGTAGGTAATGGACAGTGAAAACTGTTCATTTTATTATTTGCATAAATTCAGATGTTATGAAAGTAGCACATCTCTGAGTGATTTAAAGTGAGCATACAAGTATCCCTAAGCCTGTCAACTGGGAAATAATGGTAAAAATTGCATTATGTTTACAATATAATTATCTTTAAGTATGATATAAAATGCTAACATTTTTAGCATACATTGAATTTATTTTGAATTTCTGTCTTGCATTTCCTGAGCTATAATTATAATGTTATTTTCCTGTTTCAACTCAATAATTTTCTCATTTATATTGTAGTTCTCTAGCACAATATGGTCTCTAGCAATATGGGAACAATATTTAAGTGATGATTTAACACAAAATGAGAAGCTAATCTAATAACCCATCTCTTCTAAAGTAGCTAAATATTTCAGTCAGTTTCACATAGATTATGAAGACAACTGCATCTCTTTTGTTGTCTCATGCTGGTAACTTTTACTCTGTGAAAATGATAACTATAAAGCAGATAACCTAATTGTATTCTAAGATGAAAATACACAAACATATACTGAAAATTAATTATAGTTCAAGTCATATATTCCATCCATGAAATATAAAAGCTATTGCTTTCATTAAAAATAACTTCTAACATGATTTTTACTCAGGGTTGTGGGATTTGGTCTTCAACATGCCCCCAGTGGCCCTACTTCCTGAAATGTCCTTGTGAAGCACCCACTAGTCTGTGCAACCTAAAGGATATTGTGGAATGATGACTTCTGATATGAGTTAACAAAAGGCATTGTGGCTTCTGTATTTCTTTCTCTTGGATCACTAGCTCTGGGAGAAGAAGCCTTCTGCCAGGTTATGAGGGCACTCAAGCAGCAACTCCAGGAGAATTCCCCATGAAGATAAAGCAAGGCCTGTTTGACTACAATCTACATTAATCTGCCAGGCACATGAATGAGCCACCTTGGAAGTGGATCCTCTAGCTCCTGTTAAGCCTTCAGAGGCCTGCAATTGCCATGAGACTAACTGCACCAGAACCTATCAACTCAGCCATTCCCACCCAGAAAAACTGAGACAATAAAATGTTTACTGTTTGAAATTTCTAATTTTTTGTTACATTGCATGGATTACTAATACGAGGAATCTGAAATATTAAATGAAGATCAGTTAGCCTAAATAAAAAACTGAATGCCAAAGGAGACACCTCAATTCTTACCAAATTAAAATCTAGAACCCCAAGTAACTTCATCTAAACATAATGACAACACATTATGCATCAGAGAGCCCTTTAACTTCTAACCCAGTGAATAACTGCTTCCCTCCTGGGAAGTCCTCTATTCCTACCTACTTCTGTTGGCCTCCTTGCACAGAAATGTGCAGACACTGCCCAGAAAGACCCTGGCTGGTGCTCTGGCTCAGGATGGACTCACAGAACATCACCTCTGGTCCCAGTTTTTCTCCTGAACTTTCAGGACATTTCTCATGGCACCTTAGCATAAATAAAAACCTCATATTTCTTTAATACTAAATGAAACTCAAAATACATCATAAGTTGTCCTAAAATAAATCAGTGTAATGAACAAAGGTGCTGCTTGTTTTCAAACTATATGCAAGTCCATAATCTTTGTCCCATCCCATCACTTTGGGTAAGGTAGAACCTCCTTGAGAATCACTATTCTGTTTTTTAATTTTAACATTAGTAACCTCACTGTACAATTTTACAGGGACCCACCAGAGGAATCTCCAAAATTATAGTAAAAATGTTTCATTTCTATTAGAACTGGCAGAGTAAACTATATAAAGGAAAAAAGTATAAGGGCTTAAAAAGAAAACAAAACTGAGGTTTAAATAATAGCTGGGTCAAAAAGATTGGACAAATGTCAGTGGTAAAAGCAACTAAAAGCAACTGAAAAAATGGAAAATGCATGTCAGTGAGATACAGCAATGGGGTGCTTTCAAAATTTGGGCCTGTCATACAAGAATGTGTACTGAGACAAAGCAGGGTAGGTGGAATCATGATTTCACACACCTCAGGAAGAATCGTGTTGGGACTTACAGCTCATCCGTGCAGAGAGAATCAAATTTATAATGGGAAAATTTGCAACCTGTCAGAATTCTTTGAAGTAAGAATTGCTCCCTATCTTTAGTGGAACAACTGATATGTACAGACAACATTGGTGCCCACCTTTGTCTACAGTTTCATGATAAATATTCCTTGCTGAGAAAATGTACACACGACATTTATTGTGATTTAGTTGGATCCATCCCAATCTTCTGGGTACATGAAAAAAAAAAAAAAAAAAAAGCAACTCCACAACTGCCACTGAGCTTCCCACACGGCTAATACATCTTTAAATCTTTGGTAGTTTTGCAAAAAAGTAATTGGTTCCAACATGCTCTGCATGAAAACTATAAACAGAAGACAACTTGTGGCTAAAATCTATTCTGAGAGTGATACAAACAGGAATGCAACTTATGCTGTATAAGAACTGGCAGGGCTATTTCCAAGGTGACCTGAAAGAACTGAGGCTTCTGTAGTAGCAAATTCAAAAACAATACACAAAATGCACAGCCATAAAGAAAATAGAGATGTGCTCTAGAGATGATGAGGACCTGCTTAAGAGGGGCTGGTCTCATGACCTAATCAAGGGTAGGATAAAAAATGGGGAAGTTTTCCATTTTAAGATTATGTAAAAAGTCAAGTAGCTAAATAAAAAGGCTGGGGCAGTAGCTCAGTGGTAAAGCGCATGCCCAGAATGTGTGAGGCCCAGGGTTAGATTCCCAGCAGTGAAAAAAGGAAGGAAAAGATTATAACACCAGGAAAGTTCAATTAGTGTTTGCAGAAAGATGACTGAATTGGTAGTAAACAGACTTTACTTTTCTTGTTCTAGACTTGTCACTAATAAGTTTTATGAGTTTTTATCATATCACTTCAACTGTCTAGAATTCAGTTCCTCATGTCTAAAACAACAAAGGCTGAACTAGAATCCAGAATTCATGAGTTCATGATTTTTTGTGTAAAATTAGATCACTTGAAAGACCAAGAAAACTAAGTTGAGAAAAATTCTTAGGTTGCTTGGAGATTCCTTAAGAAAGCAAGCCCTAATCAACTTGTAATGTCTGCCAAGGCAAGACACAGTGTTATAGGGGAGGAATGGTCAGATTTGTGCATATTTGCTATGTGCATATTTGGACTCAGTCACCTTCAAGGACTTATAACTATAATATTCTATAATTTATATACTGAACACAAATAACCCAAAACAAATCAACAATCTCAATAAAACTATATGTTTTTTTTAAAAAGCAAAGAGCTTGATAAAGAGCAGAAGGGAAAATTGTTTTTAAAGGCTATTAACTTGAAGAGGTAAAAATGACTATTTAAAGCAATTGATGTTCAATTTTTTACAAAAAAAAAAATTAGAAAAAAGTAAACTCACAGGTAGAGGTTCTAGGTTGGAAAGATAAAAGTCCAAAATCAGGATTAGAGTTTTATAGCTGTGAGATATTAATTGTCACAGATAAAATACCACTAACTTTATGAAATCTCCTTGCACGTCGCCTTCCAAATCATTACAAAATTCCAAATTACTAGAGCAGAATTTTAAAAATTATATGCTTTGCAACTTAAATTTGAACATAAAATCTGTAATAAGAAATAGAGCTGGCAACTGACTGGCATTTTTTTAATCAGTAGAATTGCCACTATTGGGGAGATCATCAACCTGTTCTCAATTGGTATCAATTAACACAAGCTTAATTAAAAATGTACATCAATCTGACAACAAAGTAGAAATGATTTAAAGTAATTTTAGTCTAGAAGACATTCACACACTCATAAAACATATCTAAAGTACCTTTGGATGATACTGTAAAATGATGTAAATATATGGAAGCCTTAGAAAATAATAAATTCAAATGCATTTCCTCCTATGATGTTCAGGACTAAGTAACTGGCCATTTCTGAACTGTCTTTTTAAGGGCATAGTTAAATCTATTATCAAGAGAACACATTCATGACAAGTCTTAGTACCATTGACATCTTCAAGGTAATAAACCTGCTTAAGTCTACATGCTGAGTTTTGAGCTTTACTTGAATTCTGAGAAGAATAAAGTAAAATTTCTGTTTACAAAAATAAGCAAGTTCTTGGGAACTCAGACCATGCTAATTACACTTTCTCCCCAGTATAAACAATACCATCAAACACTATGTTTAATGGAATGAATAAAAATATTAATCATTTTAAGTCTTAATTATATTTGGTCCTAGGATGTATCTTTAAGCATCTAATGAGAAGAGTTTTTTTTTCTTACTTCTGAGCTAATCTTTTATAATTCTGAGTATGAGTTTACTTTTAGATCTACTAAATACATATGTTGTTTAGGAATTTCTGGATTTAAGGATAGAGTAAATTATTCTGCAATATTTCTAGCTTTAAAGTAGGTTGCTATACTGAAAATAAAAAATGAAGTAATCATTGAACCAGGCATCCTTCTAAGTGCTACAACAGGGAACAATGCAGAAGTCTCCATTTGCAGAGGTTATACTCTGGTATTTGGAGATGGCCAGTGAATAAGCAAACAAGTAATTTCAGATAGTGAAAATTATCATGACGAAAAGCTGGAGTGATACGCCAGAAAAACCCTGGTGGTGTAGAGCATTGAATTAGCAGGTTAGGAAAGCAGGGCCAGCTCCTGGGCTTGGAACCCACATGAGAGCACAGGTTCTCACACCTAGAAGAGCCTACCTGTTTAGTACCCTGCTTTCATTGTCTTAACATTCTTAATGATTTAAATATGGGGCTCTGTGTTTTCACAGTTTGCTCAGAGCCCCACCTATCAGGTCCACATGTACATGTCCTGTGCACAAGTTAGATCTGAGGAGGAAGGAGGAACAAGACCTCTGTGAAGATGGCGGAAGGGCATTCTGTGAGAGGGAACACCAAATGCAGCATAACAACATGACAAGGATAATATGGTGCATGGGCTTTTATTTGATTGTATTTATCAACTGCAACTTAAGGGATATTTACTAAAGGCACATTCTCAATTGTGATAAAATCTAATCCAAGGTGCTAAATAAGTGAAATTTGACTGTATTTAAAAGACATAACTTCTTCAAGCAAGCTTCCTTATAGTGAAATGGACTAAGAAAAGGATCTTAAGGTACTGTAGATAGTATACACAAAGTTAATATCTCAAATTTGAGATTTCTCCAAAATGCTTAAATTATTTATAGTACAGGAAACATATTAGTTACTACAAATGTTTTCATACAATAACAAAATCCAGATAACTAAAAATAATTTCAGAAGTTGAAGCTGCAAACCATCCATTTGTCAAGGGGTAAATAAACGAACAATGGATTGGTCGTACTACACAATACTGCTTAGTAATGAGAGACCTGAACTATTGATATATTCAACATGAATCTCCAGAGAATTATGCTGAGAAGAAAGTCAATCCCCAAAGGTTACATTCTATATATTCCATCCATTCATGGCTTTTTWAAAAAAGACTAGGATGGCTAGAAGACCTGAGAAACCTGACAACTCATTTGCTTTCAAAAGTAAACTTAAAGCTTTTTGAATTTTGCTTCGAAAACAAAAAGTTCTTCACCATGAAAATCTTCTTTGAAAGACATCGCTAAGAGAATATAAAGCCAACCCACAGACTAAATATCAGTAATATGTATATCTTTCAAAGTACAGTGTCTTTCAAAGATCAGAAGATTTTCATGTTGAAGAACTTCAATGTATTTTGAAAACAAGAGAATCTTTCCTATGGTTAATAGGGTCCACAAATGGTACTTGCTAAAAGTAGAACTATTTTGCCCTTTGAAAAGAGCTAGAAAAATATAATTTCGTATGGTATGAGTAATTCTTAGAAGTCAACTTATGGAGCATTT